TTTCGCCCGTGCATTTAACGCTTTCCGCTTTTTGCCGGGCGGTTTTGCCCGTGCTTTTAACATATTGCCCTTTTCCGATACGGCTTGTTCCAAGCCGTTTGTACCGCGCGTACGACCCCGTAAGTAACCGGTAACTTACGGTATCCCGCTAAACCGCCCCAATGCCCGGCAACGCTTGGGAAAACCGGCTATAAAATTTTGTAGCATTTGGAAAAATAAATCCGTACCGGCATATAAAAGGCTTTTTTTCCCGTTTAAAATTACGAGCCCTTTTTTTTTCCTTTTTGTACATTTAATAACCATTTTAATAATTTTAACGATTGTAACCGTAAGTAGTTAATGTTTGGCCGTTCTTTTTAAATACCTGGATGTTAAGGGTTAATTGGTGCAAAGGCGGGTGGTTACCAAGTTACGGGCCGGATACGGTGTTTTTTTTGTTAAACCTCCGTAAATTTCTTACCAAAAGTGCTATCGCTAACAAAAATTGTTTTTTTTTAACCTTTCCTTCCTTCGTACCTTTTCGGGCACCCGGGGTTGGTTTTTTAAATTTTCCGCGCTCCAAACGCTTTCGTGCAATTTAAGCTTTATTTTATTTTTTAGCTTTGCTATTATACTTTGGCCGCAATACCGGTAATTCGCCGGTATATCCCCGGGGGGTTCGTGCCCGATTAATTACTAACGCCCCCTTTTTCCTTTTTTACCGGGCGGTTTCGCCCGTATATTTAACGTTTTTCGCTTTTTGCCGGGCGGTTTTGCCCGTGCTTTTAACATATTGCCTTTTTCCGATACGGCTTGTTCCAAGCCGTTTATGCCGCGCGTGCAACCCCGTAAGTAGCCGGTAGCTTACGGTATCCCGTTAAGCCGCTTTAATGCCCGGCAACGCTTAAAAAAACCGGTTATAAAGCTTTGTAATATTCGGAAAAATGGGTCCGTACCGGCATATAAAAGGCTTTTTTTCCCGTTCGAAGTTACGAGCCCTTTTTTTTCTTTTTTGTGCATTTAATAACCATTTTAATAACTTTAACGATTGTAACCGTAAGTAATCGGTATTTGGCCGCTCTTTTTAAACATTTGGATTTAACCGGTAATTGCAAATGTTATCCTTTGTACCCAATTACGTAAGGAAGGTAATGTTTTTTCGGGTATTTGCTTTAAGTTTTTCGGTTCCAACCGGCCCGTTAGCCTTTCTTAATAACCCCCCGGTATTTTCCTTAATTATCGTAATTTAGTTGGATTTAAATTCGGTTTCGCCGAAACTTTTAATTTTTTAAATCCTTAACGATCGCTTTGCCGGTAACCTTTCGGTAAGCTTTTTAAATATTGCGGGTTTATCGGGCCTTTTTGCGCTTGCAACTTTTTAGGATTCCCGCAAGCGTTTTGCTAATAACCCCCCGGCGGGCTTTAACCGCCGCAGCAAAAAAACTTCCGCCGAAAAAAAGCGTAAAGCGCGCAACGAACGCCGCCGCAACGCTTTTAATTTTAATAAATTTACCCCCAAAACGGACATTGCCTTTTTTTCGTTTTATATAAATATCCGCAACGCGCTCCCGTTGCGGGAAATTATCGATTTTTAATAAAGCAATAATTAAAATTTTATCCGTTTGCCTTTTTTTAAAAATAATTATACGGAACGTACGGTATTTTGTAACCGCTATTTTGGTTATTAAATATATTAAAATTATGCCGTTAACCTTTATATGCCGATATGCTTTAATAATTATACGGGATTTTTTAAATATATTTATTGCAAAAATATGGTTAGCAACAAAGCTTGCATTAAATTTCCTAAATGGTTTTAAAAAATAGCCTAAAACCTTTACAAAATTTTAAATACCGTTTACAAGCAATTGCTTAAAACGATACCGGAGCTTTTTAAAAAGCTTACCAAAATTTAATTTCGCGTTTGCAAGGCTATCCAAAAAGCTAAATCTTTTTATACTATATCGGCCGAACAATTTGCGCGTTACAAACGTTAAACCGTTATCCAAAAGCGCATTTAACGCAAAATTGCTAACGCTACAACATTAAAAGCTATTTAAAACATTTTTTAATAGCTTTACGTTATTACCGTTTAAACGAAAAAGCAAGCTTAAGCTTTGGCTAGTATCGGTAATTCTTTTAACAAGGTAAAAGCATCTTTTAAGCGTTTCGAAAAAGGTATGGTTGCTTTTTTTAATGGCATTGCCGCTAATTTTGCCATAATTGCGGCGCATTTAAATACTTAGGCTTACAATCGCGCGGTTCCCCGTAAAAGTGCGGCGTCCGTATTAACGCCGGAAAGTACCGCCTTCGGCGCTAACAACTTTAGCGGCAACAATTATAGCGCTAGCAAAAAAAACGTAATTTCCAAAGGTTTTGGTTTTTTTAAATACGGCATTTAATTAATTTTTTTTACATATTTTTTTAATTAATTATTAATATTCCCTTTTCGAAAAGTGGTTAATTTTAAATTTTTTTCGTTAATTTGTTACAATTAAAATTATAATTTTTTTTCGTTATATTGCTTTTATAACATTGCGAAATTCCAATGTTTTTAATTACCAATTAAGTTTTAATATTTTAATAAATAATTTTAAAATGCTTTTTTTTTGCTTTTTAATAGGTTTAAATACCGCCAATATGCATTTACCGCTACCCGAACGCTTAAGCCCGTCCGCCGTACCATCCGGAAATTTTTTTACTTTTTTTTTGGGCAAACAATGGTATTTTTTATTACAACGTACGTTTAAAATGCAATAATTGCTTTAGCGTATTGCGTTAAGCATGCTTTTTACGAACTTTTTAAAATGTGCTATACTTTGCATATCCTTTAAAATTTAAATGTATTGCATTATTAATTTAAAGCGTTTTCCGTACTATACCGTTTTTATTTAACTTTTTGTTTATAAAATACAATATTTTACGGCTATTACAAACCGTTTACGGGTTTTTTTACGTTTTTTTCCGGTGGCTAACCGGTTTGGCACGTTAAAACATTTTTTTGGGCCATTCCTTTGGCTTTTATTACTTTTTTCCTATAATACCCCCGTCCTTTCCGGGTATTTACCCGTTAAGGTTCGGTATTTTCTTTATTTTGTAAATTTGCTTCCAATAAGCTTGCTTTATACGCTTAAACAATTTTTTTCGTAATATCCCTTTTTAAAATTTACGAATTTTCCGATTCGTTGTAATTTATTTATTTAACCAAATATTTTCGTTTTCGCAAAAGCCCTTTATATCCCAACAAAGCTTTTATTTCGAAACAATCCTTTTTTTTTTTCGATTTTTGGTTTTTTATTTTTTGGTTTTTTACCGGGCCTTTTTTTAAACGCCCGCAATAAATTTACCGGAAATACGTTATATATCCGGTAATTTACTAAAAGCTTTAACCAAAACGCCAAACCGGTTAACCCAACCATTTTTAAAATTTAAAAAGGTCCTAACCATTTGTTTAATAATTTTTTAACGGCCTTTTTATTTTAATGTTCGCCGTATTTAGCAATACCCAATCGCTTACCCTAAAAAGCACCGGGGTTTTGCTTTTATTATAATATTTTTTGTACATATTATTTGCTTTTTTTAGCAATTTTTTGGCTTGCTTCCTAATTGCTTCCAAAGCCCCCGCCTTAATTTTAACCGTTACCGAAAGTTTTTTTTTAATTACCCAAAAGTTATAAAATTTTTATAAGTAAAACTTTATTAGCAAAAACGCCGGGGTTTTTTTGCAACCCCAAATGCACGCTCGTATTATGCACTTACGCTATTAAATGCAATAACAACGCCCAATCGTTTTGCTTTTCGCAATAAAAGCACCGGAAATAATACTTTATTATTTGGTTCGTTCGTTCCGTTTGCCCGTTGGTTTAAAAATAGTATGCTATCGATAGCTTTTTTGCAATTTTTAAATATTTGGCAAAGGTTATTTAAAACCCGTTTGTAAATAATTTGTTTCGGTTCGATACAATTCCTTTGGGCGTTTTTAATAGCTTTTAAACGTATGCAAATAAAAGGTTTCCCAATTTTTTATTGGTTAATTTCGTAAACGTTAAAATAAAAAAGTTATATTTAATAAACCGGTCGACCATTACCAATATTGCGTTGCGCTTTTTACCGGTTCCATTTACTAACGTTAAAAGCTTTTTAATAAAATTTATCGATAATTTTTATCCCGGGCGGTTTAATACGGGCAAAAATGCTAGCAACCCGTAAAATGCTTATATTTTTAATTTCGTTTGCTGGTATATTTAATACGTCCGCATATATTTGCGTACGTTTTTAACTATACCCGGCCATTTAAATTGCCGTTTAAGCTTTTTTAAAATTTTAGCCATGCTTTTGTAACCTTTCGTTGGGTTATCGTATTGTTTTTAAAGCATTATCCGTTTAAACGGTACTAAATTCGAAATTTAAACTTTTTTTTGTACTTAAACAAACCGTTATTAATTTCTTAAACGTTAAACTTATTTTTTTAAATACCGTTTTAAATAAAATCGTTTTTTGCTTATGCTTTAAAAATGCGCTTTAATATCGTTTTGGTATCCTTTTTAATGGTGGTCGTTTTTACGTAAGCTATTTTTTGGAATTTAACCAGCAAATCGCTTCGAAATTTTTCTTTTGCTATATTGGTTTCCCCGTTTATTAATATATTTTAAAAACGTTTTAATAAGTTATTTGCAAAATTCCGGTATTTTGGCTTCCATTTAATCGTAAAATCGTATTTTGCTAAATTTTCGAATTATTTTATTTAGCGCTTTATTACCTTTTTTTTTATTAAAATATAGGTATGGTTTAAATGGTTAGTAATTATTTTAACAATTTTTTATAAATAGGCTAAATAATGCCGCCATTTTTTAAAAGCTTTTACGATCGCTAACAATTTTAAATTAAGGATTGCATAGCGCAATTTTTTTTGTTGCAGCTTTTTTAATATATAAATTATCGGGTGTTACCGGCCGTTTTGTAATTGCAATAATACCGCTTTTATTACAAAAGCCAAAGCGTCGGTCCGCACGCATAACGGTTTCGAAAAGTTAAAATGTACCAATACCGGAGCTTTCGTAAATAGCAATTTTAATTTGCAAAAAGCCTTTTTCGCAATATTCCCCAAATAAAATACGGTATTTTTGCTAAAAAGGTTCGTTAAAGCACAGTAATTTTCGCGTAACCCTTTACAAATTTCCAATAATACCCCGTAAAATTTAAAAATACCTAAATATTTTTAACGCTTTCCGGTATCCTCCATTTTAAAATCGCAATAATTTTATCCGGCAAAATTTCGACCCCGAATTTGGTTATTTTAAATTTTAAAAAATCGATATTATCCGTTTCGAATTTGCATTTGGCCGGGTTAACGTAAAGTTTAAACCGTTTAAATCGTTTTAGCACCGTTTTTATTGCTTTACGGTACTTTTTTTATATTTTTAAAAAAATAAGGATATTATTTAAATATACAATGCAATTGCTATTAATTAATTCCTTAAACGCTATATTAATAAAATTTTAAAACGTTATTAAAGCGTTGGTTAAACCGAAAAGCATTATTAAGTATTCGTAATATCCATATTTGCAACGGAAAGCAATTTTCCATTCGTTTCCTTATCGGATTCGTATTTTGTAATAAACGTTTTTTAAATTTAATTTGGTAAAGTATTAGCTTTTAAATACCCGGTCGAATATTTTGTAAATTAACGGAAATGCTAGCCGGTTTTTTTTAATAACTTTGTTAAAACCCCGATAATTGATACAAAAGCGGAACTTCCCGTCCTTTTTTAAAACAAACAAAATTCCGGCGCCGGCGGGGTTAATTAAATGCCAAATTTAACCCTTTGCTATAATTTCGTTAAAATATTCCCGGAAGGTTTTTAATTTTTTTTTGGATAAAGGATAAATGCTTTTGTAAAACGGTATCGTTTTTTTTTCCAATTCGATCGCGTAATTTTAGCTTATATATTTTAGCAAAGGGTTCGATTTATAAAATTGCGCATATTTTGCAATTATTTTTTTAATTTATTCCGGGAAAGCTTTTAGCCTTTTCCCGGGGTTTTTCGGGGTTTCCGGGCGTGCAACCGTTAATACGGCTATCGTTTGTTCCAATTAAATTAATTTTTTAACTATTTCCAACAAAATTATTTTAACCTTTTTAATAATTACCAGGAACTTTTACTTTATATTCCCAAACCGAATTTTAATATTTTTTTGCTAAAGTTAAAACATGCTTAACGTAATGTTGTACCCGGCCCGGGGCATTACTACGTAAAACATTATTAATTTTTAGGTTATTCCTTAGCTATTTATTACTTAAATTTTGTATTTTTTTACTTTTAGCGTAGGCATGCGTTTTTTAGTATCGAACCACGTTAAGTAACCCCCGTTTAACACCGGTATTTTTTTTGCTTTTATTAAAAAACGGTTGTGCAATAAGTTAACGTTGTTTTTATTATTAACCAACCCTTTTAATTTTACCCGGCAACCGTTAATCCGTAAATACATTTTGGTTTTCCAACGCGTTTTAGCCGCCGGGGCGCACTTTTAAGCCCCGGTGCTTAAACGGCTAAATAGCGGTATCGAATTGGGTGGCGATATTTTGCTTTTTTTAAAGCACGCCGGCCGGATATGGCCCAATTTTTTATACCCGTAACATTGTACTTCGGGCCTTTTCCTTTTCGCCTTTTGTATAATCGCTAAGGCTAACGGGGTTTCCGGGTTATCCGTCCGTATTTTGCATGCTGCAGCGATATAGTTTAATTGCCCGTACTTAAAGCAAATAACCGGCTTTTTAAAGGTTGGAACATTTATATTCCCCGGGGTCCTTTTATACGGTTCCGATATTATTTTTGTTTTAAAAGTTTTAGTTTGCAATTTTTTTATAATATAAAAAAAGCTTTTAAATATTACCCGTTTTTGGATTTCGGGGCGAAGCCGGTTAAAAAGCAATATCGTTTTTATTTATTCGGGTGCTAATTTGGAAAGGTCGTTTTTTACCAAATTTTAACAAATTCGGAACGTTTTAAACAATTTGTAATTTTTTTATTTAATAGCGGTATTTTTCGCAAGCTTTTTAATTGCTAACCATATCCGCGAATTGGGGTTTTTCGATTTTGCTTAAAGCCACCGCAAAAAATCGGTTTAAATAAACGATATTCCGGTATTTAAATAATGCATTTATTTGTATTTTATCCATTGTACCCGTTAACAATAATTAAAAGTGCTAAAAATTATTTAAACCTTTATACGGTCCTTACCATAACGTTCCTTTTTACTTTCGAAAATAAATTTATAATTGTTAATGTAATGGGCGATATTTTGCCAAATTGCCGATTTTTTAAGTATAAAAAGTTTAAAGGTAATTTTATTTTACGTAAAACCTTTTCGTTGCTTAAAAGTATTTTTTTTATTTTCGTTTAAACCTTTATGCGCATATTTTAACTTTTTGTTTTAAATTTTTTGGATTAAGCGGGCGCGTTTGCTTTGGGCTTTTAACGTATCGTTTATTTTTTGCAATTCCTTTACGAAAAGGTTTTTAAAATCGTTGGGAATTTGCGGGGCTTTTTTGGTATTTTATTCCGGTGGTTTAGCGGCTTTTTCCAACGTGCTCGACGTAACGTCGGGCGTTATTATAAGCGGTGCAAAGTTACAAATGCCTTTTTTAAATTTGTTCAATCCTTTTTGGTAATTACCCGGGCTTATTCTTTAAATAAAAAAGGTGTAAAAAAAGGAACAATATATTAAGGGTTAATCGGTATAAAAGCGGGTAATGTTAAAAGCACGGGCGAAACCGCCCGGTAAAAAGCGGGGAGCGTTAAATGTACGGGCAAAACCGCCCGGCAAAAAAAGAAAAAAGGGGCGCTAGCAGCCAGCCGGGCACGGACCCCCCGGGAACATGCCGGCAAGTTACCGGTATCGCGGCCAAAATATAATAGCGAAATTAAAAAATAAAATAAAGTTTAAATTGTACGAAAGCGTTTAAAGCGCGAAAAACTTAAAAAACCGACCCCGGGTGCCCGAAAGGGCACGAAAAAAAAAAGGTTAAAAAAGGAACAATTTTTATTAGCGATAGCACTTTTGGTAAAAGATTTACGGAAGTTTAACAAAAGAAATACCGTATCCGGCCCGTAACCCGGTAATTACCCGCTTTTGCACCGATTAACCTTTAACATATTGTTTTTTTTTTTACATTTTTTTTATTTGGGAAGCAAGCCCGGGTAATTACCGAAAAGGATCGAACAAATTTAAAAAAGGCATTTGCAATTTTATACCGTTTATAATAACGCCCGACGCCACGTTAAGCACGTTGGAAAAAGCCGTTGGGCCACCGGAACAAAATACTAAAAAAGCCCCGCAAATTCCCGATAATTTCGAAAACCTTTTCGTAAAAAAGCTGCAAAAAATAAACGACGCGCTGGAAGCTTAAAACAAACGCGCCCGTTTAATTTAAAAAATCCAAAATAAAAGGTTAAAGCATGCACATAAAAGTTTAAACGAAAATAAAAAAAATACTTTTAAACAACAAAAAGGTTTTACGTAAAACAAAATTACTTTTAAGCTTTTTATGCTTAAAAAATCGGCAATTTAACAAAACATTGCTTATTACATTAACAATTACAAATTTATTTTCGAAAGCAAAAAGGAACGCTACGGTAAGGACCGTATAAAAATTTAAATAATTTCCAGCACTTTCGACCATTGTTAGCGGGCATAATGGATAAAATACAAATAAATGCATTATTTAAATACCGGGGTATTGCTTATTTGGGCCGATTTTTTGCGGTAGCTTTAAACAAAATCGAAAAACCCCAATTCGCAAATATGGCTAGCAATTAAAAAGCTTGCGGGAAATACCGTTATTAAATAAAAAAATTACAAATTGTTCGAAACGTTCCGAATTCGTTAGGATTTAGTAAAAAACGACCTTTTCGAATTAGCACCCGAATGGATAAGGACGATATTGCTTTTTAACCGATTCCGCCCCGAAATCCAAAAACGGGTAACATTTGGAAGCCTTTTTTACATTATAAAGGAATTGCAAACCAAAGCCTTTAAAATAAAAATAATATCGGAACCGCATAAAGGAACCCTAAAGGATATAAGTATTTTAACTTTTAAAAAGCCGGTTATTTGCTTTAAATGCGGGCAGCTAAGCTATATTGCTATAGCATGCAAAATACGAACGGATAACCCAAAAACCTTATTGGCCCCAACGACCATACAAAAGGTAAAAGGGAAAAGGCCCGAAGTACGGTATTACGGGTATGGAAAGTTAAGCCATATCCGGCCGGCGTGCCCCAAAAAAAGCAAAATATCGCTACCCAATTCGATACCGCTATTTGGCCGTTTAAACATTAAGGCTTAAAAATGCGCTCCGGCGGCCAAAACGCGCTAAAAAACCAAAATGTATTTACGGATTAACGGTTGCCGGGTAAAGTTAAAAGCGCTGGTTAATAATAAGAACAACGTTAACTTATTGTACAACCGTTTTTTGGTAAAAACAAAAAAATAACGGTACCAAACGAAGGCCATTTAGCGTAATTCGATACCAAAAAACGCATATTTACGCTAAAGGTAAAAAAATACAAAATTCGGGTAACGGATAGCTAGGAAATAACCCGAAAGTTAATAATATTTTACGTGGTAATGCCCCGGGCCGGGTACAACATTACGTTAAGCATGCCTTAGCTTTAGCAAAAGGACATTAAAATCCGGTTTGGAAATATAAAGTAAAGGTTTTCGGTAATTATTAAAAAGGTTAAAATAATTTTGTTGGAAATAATTAAAAAGTTAATCCAATTGGGACAAGCGATAGCCGTACTAACGGTTGCACGCTCGAAAACCCTAAAGGACCCCGGAAAAGGGCTAAAAGCTTTTCCGGAATGGGTTAAAAGGATAATTGCAAAATATGCGCAGCTTTATAAATCAAACCCTTTGCTAAAATATATAAGCTAAAATTACGCGATTAAATTAAAAAAAAACGATACCGCTTTACAAAAGCATTTATTTTTTATCCGAAAAAAATTAAAAACTTTCCGGGGGTATTTCGACAAAGCTATAGCGAAAAGTTAAATCCGGCATTTAATTAGCCCCGCCGGCGCCGGGATTTTGTTCGTTTTAAAAAAGGACGGGAAGCTTTGCTTTTGTATTAATTATCGAAGTTTTAACAAAGTTACCAAAAAAAACCGGCTAACATTTCCGTTAATTTACGAAATATTCGATCGGGTATTTAAAAACCAGTACTTTACCAAGCTAAATTTAAAAAACGTTTATTACAAAATACGGATTCGATAAAAAAACAAATGGAAAATTACTTTTCGCTGCAAATATGGACATTATAAATACCTGGTAATGCCTTTCGGTTTGGCCAACGCTTTAATAACGTTTTAAAGCTTTATTAATATAGCGCTTAAAAAATTAATTAATAACAATTGCATTGTATATTTAAATAACATTTTTATTTTTTCGAAAATACAAAAAAAGCACCGCAAGGCAATAAAAACGGTGCTAAAACGATTTAAACGGTTTAAGCTTTACGTTAGCCCGGCCAAATGCGAATTCGAAACGGATAGTATTAACTTTTTAAAATTTAAAATAACCAAATTCGGGGTCGAAATTTTGCCGGACAAAATTATTGCGATTTTAAAATAAAAAATACTAAAAAGCGTTAAAAATATTTAAATATTTTTGGGCTTTACGGGGTATTATCGGAAATTTGTAAAAGGTTACGCGAAAATTACTATGCTTTTAACGGACTTTTTTAGCAAAAATACCGTATTTTATTTGGGAAATGTTACGAAAAAGGCTTTTTGCAAATTAAAATTACTATTTACGAAAGCTCCGGTATTAGTGCATTTTAACCTTTCGAAATCGCTGTGCGTACGGATTAACGCTTTAGCTTTTGCGATAAAAGCGGTGCTATTGCAGCTGCAAAACGGCCGATAGCACCCGGTAGCTTACATATTAAAAAAATTGCGATAAAAAAAGCTGCGTTATGCAATTTTTAATTTAAAATTGCTAGCAATCGTAAAAGCTTTCGAAAAGTAACGGCATTACTTAGCTTATTTACAAAAAATTGTTAAAATAATTACTAACCATTTAAACCATACCCATATTTTAACAAAAAAAAGGTAATAAAGCGTTAAGCAAAATAATTTAAAAATTTAACAAAGTACGATTTTACGATTAAATAGAAGCTAAAATACCGGAACCCCGCGAATGGCTTGTTAAAACGTCCCCAAAATATACCCGTAAACGGGAAAACCGATAAAGCAAGGAAAAAATTCCAAAGCAATTTACTAACCAAATTCCGAAAAGCAGTTTACGTAAGAACGACCATTATTAAAAGGAATATTAAAACAATATTAAAGCGCATTTTTAAAGTACAAATAAAGGACGATTTCGTTTAAAACGGCATTTAAAAAAACAAACCTAACGTTTGGGAAATTAATAACGGCTTGCTTAAGCACAAAAAAAAAATTTAAATCCCGAATTTAACGCCGTTACAACGGGCAATGCTTTAAAAACAATACGATAACCCAACGGGGGGTTACAAAGGCATAGCTAAAACTTTAAAAAAGCTTAAACGGCAGTTTAAATGGCCGGGTATGGCTAAAAACGTACGCAAATACGTACGGACGTATTAAATATGCTAGCAAACGAAACCGAAAATATAAGCACCTTACGGGCTACTAGCACTTTTGCCCGTGCCAAACCGCCCAAAACAAAAGCTATTAATGGATTTTATCGAAAAGCTTTTAACGTTAATAAATAAAGCCGGCAAAAAGCGCAACGCAATATTAATAATGGTCGACCGGTTTACCAAATATAGCTTTTTTATCCCAACGTTTACAAAATTAACCAATAAAAAACTAAAAAACCTTTTATTTGCATACGTTTAGGGGCTGCTAAAAACGTTTAAAAGGATTGTATTAAACCGGAACAAGCTATTTACAAACGGGTTTTAAATAACCTTCGCCGGATATTTAAAAGTTGCAAAAAGGCTATCGATAGCATACCATTTTTAAACCGACGGGCAAACGGAACGAACGAACCAAGCAATAAAGCATTACCTTTGGTATTTTTGTTGCGAAAGGTAAAATGATTGGGCGTCGCTGTTGCACTTAGCAACGTAAATGCACAATACGAACGTGCATTTAAGGTCGTAAAAAACCCCGGCGTTTTTATTAATAAAGTTTTATTTACAAAAGCTTTATAACTTTCGGGTAATTAAAAAAAAACTTTCGGCAACGGTTAAAGTTAGGGCGGGGGCTTTAAAAGCAATTAAAAAGCAAGCCAAAAAATTGCTAAAAAAAGCAAATAATATATACAAAAAATACTATAATAAAAGCAAAACCCCGGTGCCTTTCGGGGTAAGCGATTGGGTATTGCTAAATACGGCGAACATTAAAATAAAAAGGCCGTTAAAAAAGTTATCGAACAAATGGTTAGGACCTTTTTAAGTCCTAAAAGTAATTAGGTTAACCGGTTTAGCGTTCCGGTTAAAATTCCCGGTAAATTACCGGATATATAACGTATTTCCGGCAAATTTATTGCGGGCGTTTTAAAAAAAAGGCCCGGCGAAAAACCAAAAAATAAAAAACCAAAAATCGAAAAAA